ATATATATTAAATGCAAATACAAATATTTCTGGTTTGAGAAAGGATTTAATGACTACTTATTATATAAATACTTGATTTGTAGAATGATGGTTGACTGCATGATTACAGAATAGTTTACTAGAGATTGATGTTGAATATGGATAGATTTTGCTTCTATAACAATGTAGTTTAAAAAAAAACAAAAACAGCCCTAGCTGGTTTGGCTCAGTGGATGGAGTGTTGGCCTGTGGACTGAAGGGCCCCGGGTTCTACTCCAGTCAAAGGCACATGCCCGGGTTGCAGGCTCAATCCCCCGTGTTGGGGGGGGCAGAAGGCAGCCAATCAATGATTCTCTCTCATCATTGATGGTTCTCTCTCTCCCTTCCTCTCCGAAATCAATAAAAATATAGTTTTTAAAAAATCAAAAAACTTAATATAGATGTAGCCCATATGGTAAAAATGAGCAGAACAACTTTCTTCACATTCCTTCCCTTTCAATAACAAGAGAAACACTCCTATTAAACAGGACCTGTTATTACAGGAATCACTCACACTGGAGGATGTGGCCGTGGACTTCACCTGGGAGGAGTGGCAGCTCCTGGGCCCCGAGCAGAAGGACCTGTACAGGGACGTGATGTTGGAGACCTACAGCCACCTGGTGTCAGTGGGTGAGGACAGCTCCCCTGTGTCACTCAGAGGGTGGCCTTTCATGGCTTCTGAAAAGTCTGGAGTGTCTGTGATGCTCTGAAGTAGTGGATGAGTCTCAGTCCCCTCTCTGGTCCCAGGTTAGAGGGTATAATGTGCCCTCGTACAGAGAACAGCCTTTCCTTTGCTGACCTGCAGGCTGCGTAGTTCCTGAGGCACAACATTCTTCCGTGTTAGCACACCAAAGCCCGTGTCAAAGAGCCTGTCTCTTCTGTCACTTCCCATGAACAGGGTATCCAGCCAGCAAGCCAGACACACTGTCCAGATTGGAACGAGGGGAACCATGGACAAGAGAAGGTGGACTCCACAGTGGGATCTGCTCGGGTGAGTGAGAGAGAGCCCGCAAGGAAGGCGGCCGGGGAAGTCCTGGTCCAGTCGTTCAGAGGTGTCACAGCCGCCGTGAGGTGTCTGAGGACACGTACACAGAGCCCCGACGAACCGCCCATAAAGGAGCTCTTTTTCTGTAGGTGTTTAGAGGAACAGGTCTCTTCTTGGACTTGATCCCTGTTTGTTCCATCGAGGTCTTGATTGTCCCCCCGCTCTCTGCTTCTTCTTGCAATTCTCAGTCTCACCATCTTTCTTCCCCCGGGAACAGTACCTGTTCCTTCATTTTCTTGCTCAGAAATTCCACCTTCCATGGCCTCTGTTCAAGGAGAGATGTGTGATGTTAGCACTGTCTTCTGACTACAGCCCCTTCTCGCCCCATTGGATAAGGTTGTTTTCCCTTCCTAACACCCGCCCCCATCTTTGATTGGGGGTTAGGATTTTATTTATTTATTTTCTTACTTACTTTTTGTTAGTCCTCACCCAAGGATATTTTTTTCCCATTGACTTTTAGAGAGAGTGGAAGGGAAGAAGGGAGGGAGAGAGAAACCTTGATGTGAGAGAGACACATCAATTGGTTGCCTACTGCTTGCGCCCCGACCTGGGCCGGGGATGGAATCTGCAACCCTTGATCGGAATTGAACCTGAGACCCTTCAGTGCACAGGCCGACACTCTAACCACTGAGCAGCAACAGCCAAGGCTGGATTCATTTTCTTTTCTTTTTTTAAATTTTATTTTTTTATTTTTGTTTTCTTTATTAGTTAAGGTATTACAAATGTATCCTTATCCCCCCCATTAACCCCCATTGGATTCATTTTCTTAAAGCTTTCCTTTTCCAAAAAAAAAGCTTTCCTTTTCCTTATGATATTTTGGTGACATTACATCCCAATTAATCATAGCCATGCCAGTCATATAAGATGGACATTTCTCTTTTGTCAATGACCTTCATTATATGGTGTGATCTGCTTATACAGTTTGCTCCCCGCCCCCACTAAACTCAGGATCAACTATATTTAAAGGAGCCTCCGCAGTATTTTCCATCCATGAGAATCTTTTCTTGGTCCATTGCTTTAAATCCTTTTTGATTGCGCTAAATGTTGTTGGATAACCTGTTACACACTGGCGCTGCCAGCCATGAACACCGCCTCCAAGATAATGCTTTGCGATTTTATTCTAAAAGAAGAAGACATCAAATTCATCAAAATAAGTCTATATAAATAAGATGTCTTGAAGTGAAAAGTGCTGAGAAGATCAATCAAACAGCAAAAGAGAATAGTGTGTGAGGGGGCTGGGAGCTGCTGTTAGCAGCCAGGAATCTATTAGGTCTTCAGTCATCTGGGACGGGGAATGCCTCTTTGGTAAAATGCCTTTAAGCAACTACATGAGGGATGTGAGCAGGTCCGTTGAGTGAATTGCGTTCCAAAGTAGACAAAATAGCAGATTCAAAGGCCCAGGAAGAACCTCAAGGAAGCCTGTGTGAATACAGTGGGGTGGGCAAGAGGGACCGTGATGGAGATAACATGGAGATAAGGGCGATGTGGTGGGAGCTAGATTTTGGAGTGAACAGGTCATGTAGGACATTTCAAGGACATTTGAGGAACTTGATTTTTAAAAGTAATAAGGTGTTCCGGCTGGTATGGCTCACTGGTTGAGCATCCAACTATGAACCAGGAGGTCACGGTTTGATTCCCTGTCAGGGCACATGCTCGGGTTGCAGGCTCGGTCGCCAGTGTGGGGCGTGCAGGAGGCAGCTGATCAATGATTCTCTCTCATCATTGATGATATATATATAGATAGATAGATAGATAGATATATATATAATGAGATGAACAAACATTTGAGAGTTTTCAGTAGAGGAGTGACAGGATGTAATTTATATTTAAAATGATCCCTGTGGCTACTTTGTAGAAAGTAGATGGCAGCAGGCAGAGGTTGAAGTTTGAAATCCAGTTAGGAGCCTATTTGTAGTACAAAGCAGAACACGTGTCTTCAACCTGGGTAGAGAGGGTGAGGGGTGGTCAGCTTCCGAATATCTTTTTTTAAAAAAATATTTTTATTGCCCTAGCTGGTTTGGCTTAGTAGATAGAGTGTTGGCCAGACTGAGGGGGGGTCCCGGGTTCGATTCTGGTCAAGGGCACATGCCTGGGTGGCAGGCTCAATCCCCAGTAGGGAGTGTGCAGGAGGCAGCTGATCAATGATTCTCTCTCTTCATTGATGTTTCTCTCTCTCCCTCTCCCTTCCTATCTGAAATCAATAAAAATATATTTTTTTAAAAATCAGTGATGAGAGAGAATCATTGATTGGCTGCCTCCTGCCTCCTGCCTCCTGCACTGAGGATTGAGTTTGCAACCTGGGCGTGTACCCTGACCGGAATAGAACACTGACCTCCAGGTTTAGAGGTCGATGCTCAACCACTGAGCCACACCGGCCGGTCAGTGCTTGGTTTCTCAATACATGTACCAGGCAGGACCTCTTCTTCTGACAGTGTTTTTGTTAGCGTTGGGATTACGGCCTGGCTAGTCTATATATAATGCTGAAAACAGGCCCGCTTGAGCCTAGTTGGTGAACCACAGCTCTAATGTGCCAGAAGAGGTTGAATTGAATGAGAAATAAAGCCATACATTTTAGGAGTAAGATTTTAGTAACAAATACAGTCTGCATGTAATAGGTAGACATTCAGCTTTTGCTACAGTTCAGGGCTGTGTCAAGTCAACATGAACAGTAAAGACAGGGGATACTTTAGAAATTTAGGGGAAGCTGTTTACAGTGACATAGAATGGGGGAATGATAGTGTGATAGACAGGAGGCATGTCTAGGACAGAATGAAGATGAAGGGCAAAGAATGAAGGTATCAAGTTAGAAATGTGCACTGTCAAAAGATTGGCCTGCCCTAACCGGTTTGGCTCAGTGGATAGAGTGTCGGCCTGCGGACTGAAAGGTCCCAGGTTCGATTCCGGTCAAGGGAATATACCTTGGTTGAGGGCACATCCCCATTAGGAGATGTGCAGGAGGCAGCTGATCGATGTTTCTCTCTCATTGATTCTAAGTCTCTATCCCTCTCCCTTCCTCTCTGTAAAAAATCAATAAAATATATTTAAAAAAAAAAAAAAGATTGGCCTGAAACCTGCCACTTGAAGGCCAGTTTTAGAAGGTATTTGTAGGGGAACTGGTGGAGTGTCAACATGGATAAATGGGGTAATTGTTGGTAATGGAACTTTTATTTCCAGGCCAACTGTTGTGGATTTTGTTAGTAATTGGGTAGAATGATGAGGTTTGCAAGTTTGATTTATATTATCCTTAGATATATTCCTAGAAGTGTAAAACCCAAACTCTTAATGTTACATTAACTATAAACTTGATCCCATGCCTTCATCTTTCAGTCTACACACTTTCTCAAACATGATCTCATTCAGTCCTCTGTCCTAATATAATATTTACAACTAATGATTCCCACGTTGCTATCTCTAGTTAAGACCTTTCTCAAGATTTCTGTATCCAGTTGAGTTCTTCGTGTCTATATCGGATATCTAAAAGCCACCCGCAGGTTGATGTGCTTTGGAAGTACACACTTGATTTCCCCACATTGTGAACTTCAATAATATTCCTTTTCTCATGAAAAAGGCACTACCCACTGCCCTGGCCGGTTTGGTTTGGTTGGCTGGAGTGTGGCCGCACACCAAAGGATGTCAGGTTCGATTCCCGGTCAGAGTGCATGCCTGGGTTGCGGGTTCAATCCCCGATCGGGGTGTGTGGGGGAGGCAGCCAATCAATGCTTCTCTCTCCCCCCCTCTCTCTAAAATCAATTTTTAAAAAAATTTTAATGAAAAGGCACTACCCACCTATTCAGTGCCCCAAGTCAAATAATTAGGAATATCACCTGATTCCTCATACGTATTAACTGGCCTATATTGAAACTATGAGTGAGCCTTATCTTTTTCCTCTCTTCACATTATATCCTGATTTCTTCCACTGTGCTTTCCATTGCTCCCTCAAACCACTTTCCACAGTTTGTACCTGCCTTCTTTATCATTGCTTGCTGGTTCACTTTCCCCTAACCAGAATGTATGCTCAGTGAAAATAAGGACTGTTTCTATATGCTCATGACCAGCATAAGGCTTGGTGTATAGTCATCATTTAATCAGGATTTATGGATGTCTGGATGTGTCCCACATCATTTTAAAACAAATATCTATCTCTGTGCTCAAGTGCTAATAGTAATTTGATTTGATTTTACTATCCCAGCATGCTTTATAAGGTTATTAGAAAGCAAGCAAATTTATATTTACTCATTAAAAAAATTTTTTTTTTTATTTCAGAGAGGGAGAGAGAGATAGAAACATAAATGATGAGAGAATCATAGATTGGCTGCCTCATGCACGCTCTCTACTAGGGATCGAACCGGCAATCCAGGCATGTGCCCTTTTTTTTTTAAATATATATATATATTTTATTGATTTCAGAGAGGAAGGGAAAGGGAGAGAGAGCTAGAAACATCAATGATGAGAGAGAATCATTGATCGGCTGCCTCCTGCACGCCCCCTACTGGGGATCGAGCCCGCAACCCAGGCTTGACCAGAATCGAACCCGGGACCTTCTGTCCATAGGCCGACACTCTGTTCATTGAGCCAAAGCAGCTAGGGCCCCCCCCCTTTTTTTTTAATCCTCACCTGAGGATATTTTTCCATTGATCTTTTTTTGGGGGGGCGGGGGAGAGTAGAAGAAAGAGGAAAAGACAGAGAGAAATATCAATGTGAGAGAAACACATCATTTGGTTGCCTCCTGCATGAGCCTGGACTAGGGCCCAGGCTGTGGAAGAGCCTGCAACCGAGGTACGTGCCCTTGACCGGAATTGAACCCGAGACCCTTTGGTCTGCAGGCCAACTCTCTATCCACTGAGCCAAACTGGCTACGGCTGTATTTACTCATTTGGAATGAATTAACCTTATTTATACAATGACTGTTTCTATCTTTTATTTTCTTTGTTTATATTATTGTATTTTAACCTTGCCTAAGTGATAAACATATTTGCTTGGAGTTTCTTTAAACTGAAATCAGCGTTATCAATAAAGCGTCAGTCTTCACAGAGCTGTTGGTGAAATAGTATTATTCCATACCAAGCTCATGGAAAGGTTCATTTTTCTCTTCTTTCCTAGAAACCAAGAAAAATGATGGTCACCTACAGAGATACTTGCAAAATCAAAGATGTCTAAAGAGAACAGAACATTGCCATGAACATAATGCATTGGGAAACATCGTTTTTTGCAGTAAAAGTAATTTTTCTTTAAGGCAAAGTCATGATATATTTGACTTGCACGGGAAAGCATTGAAATCAAATATAAGTTTGGTCAACCAGAACAGAAGCTGTGAAGTAAAGAACCCAATTGAGGTTAATGGACATGCGAAATCTTTCCTCCATGCAAAGCATGAGCAACATCATACTGAAATAAAATTTCCTGAATGTGTTAATTCTGTAAACACAAACTCCCAATCCCTTAAGGCGCAAAGGACTCAGAAGATAAATAAACCTCATGTATGCAGTGAATGTGGGAAAGACTTCATCAAGAAGTCTCGCCTCATAGATCACCAGAGAGTTCATACGGGAGAGAAACCTCATGGGTGCAGCATATGTGGGAAGGCCTTCTCCAGGAAGTCCAGGCTCACTGAACATCAGAAAACTCATATAGGAGAGAGACGGTATGAGTGCACCGAATGTGACAAAGCCTTCCCCAAGAAATCACGGCTACTCACTCATCAGAAAACTCACACAGGAGAGAAACCCTACGTTTGTGATGAATGTGGAAAAGGCTTCATCAAGAAGTCTCGGCTCATTAATCATCAGAGAGTTCACACAGGAGAGAAGCCGCATGGATGCAGTCTGTGTGACAAAGCCTTCTCCAGAAAGTCCAGACTCATTGAACATCAGAGAACTCACACGGGAGAAAAACCTTACGAATGCACGGAATGTGACAAAACCTTTCGCTGGAAATCACAGCTCAATGCCCATCAGAAAACTCACACAGGAGAGAAATCGTTTATATGCAGTGACTGTGGGAAAGGCTTCATCCAGAAGGGCAATCTCCTAATACACCAACGGACTCACACTGGAGAGAAACCCTATGTATGCACCGAGTGTGGAAAAGGTTTCAGCCAGAAAACTTGCCTTATATCACATCAGAGATTTCACACCGGAAAGACTCCCTTTGTGTGTTCCGAATGTGGCAAATCTTGTTCACACAAGTCAGGTCTCATTAACCATCGGAGAATTCACACAGGAGAGAAGCCCTATACGTGCAGTGACTGCGGAAAGGCTTTTAGAGATAAGTCGTGCCTCAATAGACATCGAAGAACTCATACAGGAGAGAGACCCTACGGGTGCTCTGATTGTGGGAAAGCCTTCGCCCACCTGTCATGCCTGGTGTACCATAAGGGAATGTTGCACACCAGAGAGAAATGCGTAGGTTCCGTCAAGTTGGAAAACCCTTTTTCAAAGAGTCACAGCTCAGCTCACTCGAGTGACAGAGTACAGGAGAAAACCTCTGTTGATGCGATGACTGTTCGGATGCCTTCAGTGGCAACTCAGATTTCATTACGCATCAGTGGGTTCCTAGCGGATGGGAATGTGGCCACTGTGGGACCACCAGGTGCCAGAGGTGCAGCCTCCGCAGATAACAGAATTGGCACAGAGAAACCTTATGAACGCAGGGAATGTGGTAGTAGCTTCAGTGACCAATTATGTCATATTGTATGTCACAAAAACCACACAGGAGTAAACTGTGATACTCTTGAATAAAACAACTCTTGAATAAAACATTCTAGCTCATTATATGGCTTACAAGCGTGCATACAGAGACTGGGAGAGCCTTTCGTGGCACCATAGACCTTATCCGTGCTGCTTCATGTGTCACATGTCATGAGTGAGCTCCTGGTTGGTAGAAATATAACGACCGTGGGAAATCCTTTTCCAGAAATAAGACTTCAGTAGGTGGTAGAGGGTTTACACAGGAGAGAAATTGTTGGACCTTTGAAGGCAGTGATTGTGGCAGGGTTGTCTGCCTCACCCACTGGCAGAGGAAACCCAAGAAATAAAACTCTGGGCACAACTAACTGTGGAACATCTTCAGCAAAATATCGGAAAATGCATGAAGCAGATAAGGCCTGTGAAAATGAAGAAGACTTTAGGGACTTGCGTCACAATTCTAACATAATTATACATCAGATAATAGACACAGTGTACATGGTAGGACAATATACCTTGAATCAAACTCCTAGTTGATATGTCTCTGAGGACTCCTTAATTTAATGCTTTTTAAAAATATATTTTTATTGATTTCAGAGAGGAAGGGAGAAGGAGAGAGAGATAGAAACATCAATGATGAGAATCATTGATAAGCTGCCTCCTGCACGCCCCGTACTGGGGATCCAGCCCACAATCCAGGCATATGCGCTTGGCCGGAATCCAACCTAGGACCCTTCAGTCTGCAGGCCGACACTCTATCCACTGAGCCAAACTGGCTAGGGCTAATGCTGCTTTTGTAAAAAAATTATTTTTATTGATTTCAGAGAGGAAAGGAGAAGGATAGACAGAAATATCAATGATGACAGAGAATCATTGATCAGGTGCCTTCTACTGGGGATCAAGCCGACAACCCGGGCATGTGCCCTTCACTGAAATCCAACCCCGGACCCTTCAATCTGCAGAGTGTCGTTCTATCCACTGAGCCGAACCAGCTAGGGCAGGACTCCTTAATTTAAAGGAGGTTGTCTGTGTTGCACCCTTCCCCTGTTGGGGGCATGAATCTATTTTCTCACGTAGGAACATTATATGGTTAGCTCTTGCATTTCTTCAGTTCTAAATTTATCCCATTTGTATTTTAGAGGACTGAAATCCTTCGAAAGGAAACAGTACATTTATTTCTACAGTATAACAGCATGTTTGGATGTGCTAACTTTATAAACATTACCCGGGAACAGAGCTCAAAACTCATGAATAACCTGTCAGCCACGCTTTTGCCCAAAAAATAGTTTCCCATCCTGTGCGTGCACCACTCAGAAAAACATTAACAACCATTTCCTTTATCTGGTACTGTTCTGGGACCTATAGATGATGATGATGAACTAAAAAAAAAAAGTTATTGCTACCTTTGAGCTAGCAATTTTTTCTTTTTCTCTTTTTTCCCTTTCTTCCTTTCTCCTCCCTCTCTGGCTTCCTAGCTTTGGCTGCTAGCAATTTTTTGAAAGGTAGATTTCATGCATATAGCAGTTTTATCCTTCAGCAAGTATAATCAGAGGACATACACACTTGTGTTAGTTGAAAAGGATATACTAGTATAGTAAAAGGAACAAAGTATCCTGATAATTTCTTGTTCAGGATGCATTTTGTTATTTGGAGGAGGGAAGGATTCATTTTACTGGTACACACATAAAACAGAGTATGGGTACTTTT